ACGCCAGGAACAGCTAACTAATCAGTGTAATGCCTCTTCTGAATGCAATCATCTGCAGCGGTAGGCCCTTTATGTTGAGAGCTCATAGTATAATACACACACATACTTAACCCAAACAAACCCAATTTGTGAAAAACAATTTTGAAGACTTCAGCACAAAAGAACACTTTTTGGTCCAAATCTTGTACTACTCTGATTTTTTTTTAAAGGCCACACAGAAGCTTCATCAGAAGAACCCTAATTAAACTCATGAGTTCACAGATGTTTACAGAAAGATGATCAGCATGAAAACTCTGCCAAGAAATCCTGTTTCCTGGGAAGTGAGGTGGATGATGAGAATACAGAGTACCAAGGTTAAGAACCAACATTAAGGCCATTATATACTTTAAAACACTTTGAAGACACTGACTATTGCTGTTCCTATTCTACAGATTACAAAACTGAAGGTTAGAAGGCTGAATGGGTTTTCCAAAGTAACAGAGCTGGGAACCATCAAGACAAAAAGCTCAAATCTCAGTCCATGTGAAAGGAAGCTCAGGTCTCTCTCTCTCTCTCTCTCTCTCTCTCTCTCTCTCTGTGTGTGTGTGTGTGTGTGTGTGTGTGTGTGTGTGTTATTCATGTGTGTCTGTTGAGGCATGCTCATGCAGTGTCATGATATGTGGACAGAAGACAACCCTCAGGTATTGGTCCCTGTCTTTTTTTTTTTTTTAACAATATTTAAAACAGACTCTTTTTGCCATTGTGTAAGCCACTCTAACTGGTTCCCACACTTCTGAAGATTCTCTTGTGTCTGTCCCCCATCTGCCTCTAGTGCATTCTGGGATTCCAGAGGCTTGAGCTTCTGTGTCTAGTTTTACCTGAGTTCTAGATCCGTACTTGCAGCATGCCTTTTTACCCGCGAGCCATCTGCCCAGCCTCAAATGCATGTGCTCTTACTTAATCACTCGGTCTCTTGCCAATACGAAAAAGTATCTGCTCCACGACTTGTCATGTCAGTACTTCAATTCTTCTGCCACCAAATAAAGAACAACCAAGCTGCCACTATCTTAAACTAACGCTTAGCAACCGATACGCTCTCTTTCCATTCATCTGCCTATGTCTACCTTTGACTTAAATTCCCATTCTTGTCTAAATATTTTCTTGGTTGTATATGAAGTCTGTCCTTGAAATCTCTAATATCTTTAATTGGGATTTAATATCGTCAATGTTTAACATATGGCGTTGGCCATATCTTTCTTTCACTGATAATCTAACAAGCTGTATGACTGATGCACCTGGGGAGATAGATAATGAGTCAAAATGGAACCTTGGTGTCACCTGCAATCTGATCCAGTTACTTCACAACCCATGAGGTCTCCTTCCATGCCCTTGTCATTTTTGTAACTTCAAAATCTGTCCCTGTTTTGTTTTTACAATGTAGATGTTTCTAGTGCCATGATCACAACACTCAGAGATACCTAGCTTAGGCAGACAGATTTTTAGAGAAAACATCCATGTCTATCCATATATTCTACTGCTGAGCACAATCACTTAATTTAGTCACAAGTTCTTACAATAAATGAATCATCAAAACTAAGATTTCCAATGGATGGCGAGATGTATTAAAGTTCCTTCCATTTGTATATATACCTTTGATTTTGTTCCATTGTGTTAGAGTGACGGAGCATAGGGTCATCACTGATCACAGTAAAAGTGTAGTCATTTTTCCAGCTTTTGTAATACTTGGTCACATATGTGTTAAGGAGAAACAGAAAGGCAAGCTTCAGAAAGGAACTTACTAAAATTACCCTTCAGAAAATGAGCTTTAACAGGAGAGAGAATGCCTTCAAACACAGAAACCATTGCTGGGACTTGAGTGGGAGAACATAAGAAAAGAGAGTAAATAAAAGAAATATAGTAAATAAAATAGAGGTGGCATGATGGGCCATGAAGGGCATCACAGACATTGTAAAAACATTAATAAGAAAATTAGCTTGAAGTAAAAGTGTAAACAAGATATCTGCTCTGAGCAGCCTATCAAAGGGACCTGAAGTGGGAGAGGAAGAAAGAGAAAAATATAAAAACATATGAGAGAACCCCTACTTTTATATTTTTGCCCATTGAGTAAGGAGCCTGGCTATAGCTTCAAGCTGGTTTCAAGGCAGACACTAGAGCTCTTTGTTCAAGAGACAGGGATAACTTTGTTTACAAATTCCCATTCTGTGGATGGGAGCTATGGATCAGAGCAGCAGGTGAGGTATGACCTGGGTTCTTTTCAGGCTGCACACCGGGTCTTAAAGTTACGGGCCCAGCTTTTACGAAGAGACTCTATTCTCCAAAAGACAGAGAGAACAAACGAACAAAACCTAAGTGTGAACGCTGAGAAAAGTCTTTCAATGGGCCTTTGACCCAGCTGGTGCATTTGCCATTTGAAGCCTGTGGAGCCACTTTGTTCTAAGTTAAGCACTTTAAGTGTCATTTTTTTCTCATCTGTGGAATGGGTCAAATTCTTAAAATTACCTATGGACCTAGAAGGAAAAAAAATAAATATTTTATTTGTTTAAAAATATATGACAGGAGCTGAAGAGTTGGCTAAGCCACCAAGGGCACTTTCTTCTCTTGCAGAGGACCTAGGTTCTTTTTCCACATCAAGCTCATCTATAATTCTAGTTCCAGGGATCCAGTGTCCTCTTCAGATCTCCGTGGGCACCAGTCACGCATGTGATGCACACAAAAACATACAGACAAAACACTCCCATAAATAAAAATAAATTTAAATATGTATATATGCATGGTCTTCAAATACGTGATGGGGAATATTAAATAAATGTGGGCCCTGCTATTTTTATTATTTCTCTCTAATAAGGTCTGCCATCATTATCTGTGTTCTCCGTATCTGTGGACCTTTTACATGTAATCCCTATAGATGGCCCTTATTCATCCCACAAACTGTAGGAAGGTGGACTAGTTAGAGCAGCGACCTGAAAGCTAAGGAAGCAGTGAAGTTGCTTGTAAGGAATGATCCCTAGGGCTAAAAGTACTTGGCTTGTGATTCTGCCTCAGTGACATGCACTAAAATGATGAGGCACCATGATAACCTATTAGAGAGCTTACATTTATTTTATTTTATGTTTATCTTACAGAGGACAGAAGCATCATTGCAAGAAGTTAGTATACGTAAAATAGGATAGAGCCTGCATTTATTTTGGGCTGTGTAGAAGGACTTACTATGGCTGTGATTATCAGCATTTATAATAAAATAACAGGAAAAATACTGCTACAGATCATATATGACTAAGGTACAAAGGAGAAGGAATGTGCAGCACAGCCTCGCTTGTCTACAGCTCCCAGTTTTCTGAGTAGTACATGAAAGCACACAGTATCAGTCTCCAGCCAACCTGGAATATGACTCATCTCTTTCCACAGAATCCTCATGGAGCATGGGCCGTCTATTGTTATCACTTCATTCACACCTCAGTTATCAAGTAGATGTTACCATGATTGTATTTTATTGTTTCTTATTTTACTTAATAAGAGTCCAATGGTGATGAGGCTGGTAATTTTGTTATAATTGCTCTATTGTATTATTATTTATTAATCTTTGACTATGTTGAATTATTGTGTGTAATTTGCAAGTTAAACCATATAATGCATTTGCATTCATATATATTATGAATATATATACATATATTGTTTCTATGAGCCAAAGTTTTCTCTGTCGCTCAATATAGCTTAGACCTGACTCTGTATCTCAAGCTAACCTCGAATTATACATTTTGAACAATCATTTCCATTTCCCCATTGATGCTGTCTTTCTGGTCGTATTATGTTAAAAACCAGTAAGTGCTGCACAAATCCAGTGTGACTTCCCTGCCATGAAGCTATAATAACACTTGCTATAGGCTTCTCTTTGTAACAACAAAGAGGGGTGCGTTGCTGGTAACACTTAGAGAATTGTGAGGCATTTAAATATCCTCACTGTAAATCCTTATGTTACATTAACACTCTTTCCTTCAGTCACTGGCTATACCTCCTGCTATGAAATCATATGTATAGCGTGCACAGGTGTTCGGTTCAGTTCTGAACCCTATGCACAGACACACAGACACACAGAGACAGAAAAAGAGAGACAGAAAAAGAGAGAGAGAGAGAGCTGATGGAGTGCTGCCATGAGAGCAAACTGGTACATGTTTCAAGGGGGACTTTCAGAACAGATATTAAAGATTGTAAAAATGCCATTGTAGTTGGGTCTATGCTAAAATACATCCAAGCTTAATAACTACACATAATTGTTTGTCACAACATTATTTATAGAAGCAACATACTAAGAGCAAACTAAACAGGCTCTAGCAAGAGATTATTGAAATTGTTATAGCCGTGCAAAGCAGTAAAAACGAAAGCCATGCTGCTAAATATTAATGAAACAGACAACCACTTGAAATCTTCCACACAGCTTCCAAAATAATGTATACAAAATGGTTACACTAACTTAAAGAAATATGTAAAGAAGGAATCTGGTGGATTATTTTTGTGGGTTTTTTTCTTTATATTTTCTTTAATTGTTATACAACGCTTTTGGAGTATTCTTTCTTGACTGAGTTGCTTTTGTGTTTGTTCTTTGCAGTGCTAGGAACTGATCCAAGGCCCTCAGATGTTCTCAGTAATTTTTTTTCTTTTTTTCTTTTTTTCTTATTATTATCATTTATTCCAATTTATTCAATATTAGCTGTGGCTCCCTCCCACGTCTCCTTCCAACCCGACTCTATGAAGAAAGCTAAACATAGCAAGCTAATCCTTGTAACCAGTCTTTTCATAAAGTCACAATAAATCTTTAAAAAGTGGGGGAGGGACTAGAGAGATGGTTCAGAGGTTAGGAGCACTGCTTGCTCTTCCAGAGGTTCTGAGTTCAATTCCCAACAACAACATGGTGGTTCATAATTTCAAATATCATATTGTCTGCTTAGGCAGTTCTCTTTCACTTTGTAGGTAATACTCTCATATTGATCTTTCTTCCTTTTCAGGTAAATAACTATAGTTTAGAAGAAGTTACACATGAGGAAGCTGTAGCGATCTTGAAGAACACGTCTGATGTTGTTTATCTGAAAGTTGGCAAACCCACTACTATTTATATGACTGATCCTTATGGCCCACCTGATATTACTCACTGTAAGTACTATGCTCAGTGTCACCCTTAATAGCCCACTAGTTACACAAAGGAGAATGCCACGAAGCCATCTTCAGCTCTGCTTACAATTTCACTCTTGTCAAACTCTGGAAATACTTCAGGGAAAATATTCCATTCATCACTCCCATGTTGTTTTTGCAAGACCTTTGCTCATGTCTTGAAGGTGGGACACTTGCTGGGTTGGCGGGTCCATCACTAATGAAAAGACAGAGTGATTTCTTTTTTTGAAACGGGGTGACTACAGCGGTGTTGGGGCAAGACTCCAGTAGAGAATTTCTCAATGCCATGGAACACGAGTTCTCTCATGCCATTGCATTCCCTTGTTTTAGTTCAGATCTATGTAACAGCAGAGCAAAGTACAGATGCTGACAAAATAAGCCTGGATAGCTCTGCACTTCCTCCTAGGGAAGGGTGTTGTCCCCAGGAATGATGAAACCACCATTCTCAGTCATCATCATAGCTTTTATTTTTAGCTGAATTTGTTATAGTCTGTAGAATCAAGAAAATAATTGAGTCTGTAGCAGTGGGTGACGCAGGACTCCTAGGGCACCAGCTAACATGAGTCACCATTCTGGGGACCTTATCAAATGCACTTCTAGTTAGGCCTTGCACCCTCTCTTCTGTCTTCTAAGACTAAATTTAGAAAGGATTTACTCTTTCTGGAAATCTAATGGATATTTTTGTTGATATAGCTTGCTGGATTGGAAACGCTGAGAGTTCAATTATAATCGTGTGCACTCGGGATGCCTTCAGGACTATTAATTAGTACTATCACCTTAAGCAAGTTGTTGAATCTTAGATTTAGATGTTTCTCTTAAGAAAAATTTAAGAGCTGAATAACCTTATCTAAAGGTCCATTACCTTAGCTATTACTTTTTGAAATAATAGCTCTGAAATGTCTTGCCCTCCAACTGGTCTTTCTTTTTTCTTTTTTTTTTTTTTTCAAAGAAGACCTTAAGCTGAGATAAGACTTACCTTAGGATAGGAAAGAGTTTTGACTTCAGAGACTTTTGAACTGGATAAATTTAAAGGAGACAGCTTTGGGGGTCTATGAATCACTTTGTAAAGGGCATATAAATGAAATGACAGATATTTTTTTAAAAGGTAGAACAGAAACCTTCTAACCAAAGTAATTTAGCATGTGCTACGTACCTGATAAAGTAAGATGTGAGATGCAGAAGAACTACAACTATGGCCTCAGCAGCATGCCTGGAGGATTAGCCAAGAGCAACACAATTTGCAGAAATAAGAGGCAACATATACTGCCAGAAAAATAAAAATAAATATCCTTTAGAGACTGAGAAAAGGGAGATTTCCAATCTATCTTTGAAAGAACAGAGAAATTTCAAGTATAACTACCTTTTGAATTATACATCTGAGATGGAGTAAGAGATATAAATCATGGGTACTCCATACAGTAAAACAGTGGTACAGATGTCAAAAGCACAGGTTGTATCTGAGGATTAATAGCATGCATACAGAATGTTGAAATGGGTCAGTCTTATCAAATTGGTAAGAAAGAGAATGTATACTATGTCCCAAACAATAGTGATAGTGCAAACCATTTAAGGAAGAGAACAAGACAAAATATGGATTCAAGAGTTCATCTTAGCACACACAACAGGTTTGAGGAAAGAGTGGAAGGGAGCCCTCCTCAAGGAGGGCATCAGTGAAGAGGTGTCAATGCGATTAGGGAAGAACAGAAGAAAAATGCTTGAGATTGCAGGCTCCCCATGATGGAAGTATAGTAGGGAAGGCTTTATAGGAGAATTTATTCCTTGGGAGGCTTTTGCTTTTGATAATTGAATATTAATTTTGTGAAATGAATGTGAGACCTACAATTAGAAGCTAACATTTTTATTTCAATAGGAAATTAATCATTGTTCTGAAAAATGTTTGTCGGTTTGCTCTTCCAATTCTTCTCATCATCTAGTTATGCTAACTTGGGTTACAAATATAACTGTTATTACATCTTTTCAAATCTAAAGGTCACCAAGTGCTTATATATGGGAAATGCTAACAGAAAACAACTCACCCCAATTGGGGAACAAGAAAAAAATGGCATTTAGCAAAGCCTTTGTATTTTTAACACATCCTCTAAAGTATAACACACTGAATCACCTACATGAAAGATTTTATTTCGTTTCTTTTTCTCTCCCCAATTCCTTAGCTTATTCTCCACCAATGGAAAATCATCTCCTGTCTGGTAACAATGGCACGTTAGAATATAAAACTTCCCTGCCGCCCATCTCTCCAGGAAGGTACTCACCAATTCCAAAGCACATGCTCGTTGAAGATGACTACACCAGGTCAGATTGTGCTTCTGGCTTGATTGGGTTGATTATCATTTCATTTGTGTACCATGTCAGCTATTACTTAGGCAAAAAACCAAAGCTTCAAACTCTGTGTTTACCTTCAGTAAAAATCTTCAAATACTTGCAGACGTGCAATGGGATTCCCTGCTACATACTCACAAATCCCCTGTTGGGAAACAGTGTTATACATGTGTCCATCACAAAGTGATTTGCTAGGATTTTTCACATTTGGTCCTGTTTGAGGTTTACAGCCATTCTGTAGTGTAGGTTTCATTACTTGATGAGAGATGATCACACCAAGGCTCAGAAAGAAGGCAGTAATTTGTCAACACTGCCCATCTGGTTGTGAGAGGTCAGAACTGAAATGCTCCCATTCTGACTCCACTTTCCTTTCCTTGCTATCAATGGTGACCCATACTTAGTGGAATTTGGTAGTTACCCAAATCTCCCTCTAGTGAAAATGCTATGGGTAAAAACGAGGTGATTTCAGTTCCAAAGAGTTTGAAATTAACACACCATGTAATTCCAACAGGGAACTGGGCAGGAATCTCAGAACATGCCACTGTAGTACTCACACTGAGTGACACCACTTGCCACAGCACCCTAAAAAAAAAATCGAGTTCGACAGTTCACAGTTCACAGCTTCATTTATTTAAATTATTTCCAGTAAGAATCCAACAAATATTGAGTGAAAAAATAAATGAATTAATTATTTTATGGGTGAATAAAAAAAATGTTCATATTTTTTCTTTGTGTTTTTAAACATTTTGTTCCAGAATTTGTATATGCTTAATACATTTTGGCAAAAAAAAAAAAAAAAAAAAGTGACACTATGGTTATGAAACAAAAATCTCTCCCAAGAGAGTTAGCTCTCTTTAAAAGTATAGCCCTGGTGAGTTGACTACGTTCTTTTTTTTTTTTTTTTGTCTTTATTTTTTATTACTCTGCTGTATGCCTTCAGTATGAAAATAATAATGTTTTAATTATTAAAGTGAGCTTTGAGGCAGTCCATTCCCTTTGATTTTTTTGAGAAATTTTAACAATTGCTGTTGATTTTTTAACTATTTTGTAAGAACTGACAACTGAAGCTAACTAATCCCTGGGTATCAATCATTTTGATGAAAGGGGAGTTGACTGCTTCCTAATGGAAGGCCACACACACAAGAATTTACGGGGAGCATGAATTAGCCTTGGTGGGCACACAAAATGGAAAACGTAGTTTTTGAAAGAAGACATAAAATGGATCTGGGAGGGATCAGAGGAAGGGTGAACATGGTCAAACCACACATAAAATACTCAAACAATTAAAGACTCTCTCTCAGAGTCCCTTTAGACTGACCTACTTCAGAATGACCAATGTAACAGCCTATAGTGAAAATTTAAACATCTTCAAATGTGTACTTAGATATAACTGGAGGTTGACCTTGACTTTTCAAAATAAGTTCATAGTTTACATATTTCTCTGTAATTTGTTTTTTTATATTTTTTTTAAATAAAAATGATATTAAGGAGCCAGGCAGTGGTGGCACACACCTTTAATCCCAGCACTAAAGAGGCAGAGGCAGGTGGATCTCCAAGTTTGAAGCCGGCTTGGATCTGTAGAGTGATTTTTAGGACAACCAGGGCTGTCTCGATAAAATGAGATTGTGTGTGTGTGTGTGTGTGTGTGTGTGTGTGTGCGCGCATTTGTGTGTATTTTCTCTATATTTATAGCTATAACAGTAGAGACTGGTTGTTGTGGTTTTATACCCTGTCAGTCTTGACAAAGTAGAGGAGACTTCATGCTACCATGTACTTCCTCTTTGGCTTTTCTGTTCTTTGGCATGCGTTTTTAAATGATTAAGCATTTCCTATTTATTTTGCAATATCAGGTTGCTGAACTAGCACCTTATATCTGTAGCCAGGAAACAAAATGTTTGGAAGCTGAAAATGTGCATCTTTGCAGACTCTTTCCTGTGCGGGGATGTCTGAGCTCTTGTGTTATTAATTAAAATGAGGACCATGGCAAAGATAATCCTTAGGCTTCCTGAAGCGTACTGTAAATATAGACACCTTTCAGCAGCAGAGCAATCATCTGTTTGCTTTCAGCCTACCACTAATGCTGGGACTGGTTTTAATTTGAGATGTCATTATATCTTACGAGGATCCACAATAAATTAACATCCATTAAAGCTTCTTTATAATACTGGCCATTTGCTAGCTGTTTAACATACTCTTCTTCCAAAAGCAGAGATACTAGTGAATTAATAAATTAATTGATTAATTAAACAATTAAAAACGGAGAGATGGAGAAATTAAGCTTCACTCAAAGGGAATTTGTAGTTGCATAGCTTTTAAGTAGAAAAAAAATCTTTGTTCTCTGGCAGTTTCAAAATTCAACTAGAAAGCATTTAAAGATTTTCTCTTTAGTATCAAAATGAAAATCAACTTAAATAAACTTCATCAGAGAAATGCATGGCTGGAAAGGGTCTGAGTGGTCTGTCAAGCTATAAAGTCAGTCAGTCAGGTGAGACCTAGCTTTAGCTCTCACTAACTATGGCCTTGGGTTAATCACCGAACATCTGCACACTTCAGCTTCCTCATCTCTGCAAGGAAGGAGCCTTTGGGTTTATCTCAGCGGGTTGTACCGATTAAACGAGAAAATAAATGCAAGCAACCTAGAACCAAGCACAGCAGGTAGTAAATGCGTGAAAGATGTCTGTGTAGAGCCCCTTTACTTATTATAATTCACAGCTGACTTTACAGTCATACAGAATGTTCTTGCCAACAGATAGTCTCTTAGTCAGCCCGCAGTATTGCGTGCCTCATTGTCTTCCTTCCTGCTTTGACCCTGTTCTGTTTCCATGCAAGATATCCTCGCTGATAACCACACGAAATATTCTAAATGTCTGGTGACTGTGAAGTAAAGCCTCAGCTCCTACCTGCACAATTTCCTCTGTGCACTCTGTCAGCGCTGGTGTGTCCTGCCTTACGCCCCAGCTGAAAACTTTGTCTGGGTCAGAGATACTCACTCAGAGATAGATTCAGCATTTCACTCATTGTATTAAACTAATATTTCGTACTAGAATAAGGCACTAAGGATCTAAAAACTGTTTAATTGAAGGGGAAAAAAGTACATAAAGCAGTTTCTAGTCCTTCCGCTCCAGGAGATTTTTCCATAAAGACAATTTTATTGTTTCATAACCTTGATGTTGTATATTCTGGTTTTACTTTTTTCTTCTTTTGTAAAATAATTATCACAATTAATAGCAGTTATCATGCCCTTGTTTGAAAAGTAAATTCTGTCAAATTTCTGTCAGTCCCTATCCTTTCTAACTGCCAAATATCTTTTGGTTAACGACAAATTAAGGTTTCCTTAATTTTTATGTCTATGTAGGTGTGTATGCCACATGTGTGTCTGTGCCGTTTGAGGTGAGCAGAAGGTGTAGATTTCTCTGGTAGTGGAGTTACAGAAGAAACTGTAGCCACATGATGCAGGTGCTGGGAGCTAAACTTAGCTGCAAGTGTTCATAACCCTCCAGTCCTTGGTTGAAGTCCAGAGAGTAACAGAATTCAATCACTACTGTTCGGTGGCGCATTATCAGAGATCCCTGATACCATCACAGGAATTTATAAGCGAGTTTGAGGTTTATATAAACACCACAGGAACAGCCATAGGAGCAAATGAAGTTTGACATAAGAGGTGACCTTGATTCTGAACTTGAAAGTATGTAAGTATTGATCAGAATTATGAACACAGACATTTGTCTTATAAATAGCTTGGATATGTTTAAAGAGGAATATAAACTAAACATATGTATATGCATATATACATATATGCTATATGATCTCGATGTGATAGTCTTGATGTTTACAAATTAAAAAAGAAAAAATCTAAACCAAGTTAAGAAAATGCCTCATGTCATACAGCAGAATCAAAGTTAAGAATTCCAATCAACTTGTCCTTAAAGATTTCCTCCCCATATCCACACCCTTTGTCTCAGAGATGATTTTATGGCCAGAGTCCTGGCCCTGTCACTCAATACTTACACAACTGTTCAAATCACTTAATCTCTATAAACTTGAGTTCCTCAGCTGTAGATTTAGGATAAAGGATCATTTCATTTCTTCAAGGAACTATACAGTTTTAATATAACAATAAATTACGTTTATCTTTAGAAGATTACATGTGCTTGATATTACCTTTGAGTTAGGTATTCTGTTTGAGGGCTTGTTATATTTATCTGAAGGAACAAATCAAAGATTCAATCTCTAATGATGAGTTTGGCAAGCAGGGAACCATTTCTATAAAAGAGAAATCTTTAACAACCTCCAAAGTCACATCAAACTGGAAACATCTGATTCTACATGTCTAGTACACTTTTCAGTCTGCTGTAAGAATACAGACTGCTGTATTCCTCTGATTTACACTCCCTCTTTTATGGATAGATGGTAAAGATTTTTAAGCAATTTTGACTAGAATAATGCTACCATGACTTAGTTTGTCTCATTCTTATTAGATTTAGAAATATTTTTCTACCAATTTACGAAAGGGAACCTAAATATAGCAATAGAGTAGAGTCTCTGTGATGAAGAAGTCAGCTGGATGTGATAGCTCAGTGTTATAATCCGGTACCTGGGAGGCTAAGGTAAAAGGGATGCCATGAGTTTGAGGCCAGACTGGGCCACAGTGTGAGACTTTATCTCAAAAAAATAGAAGTTTTGAAAACTAATCGTGCTTATGTGGCTTTTGAGTCCGATTTATAAGCTGTCAGCATTGGAAGGGCCATAACTATATATAGTTTAATCTGCTGTCACATGATGGGGGAGAAGCACAGGCCTAAAATGAACAATCTGCTGGCTTGCTCTGGTCCTCCACTTCTAAGGAGTGGAGCCCGATTTAGAAATGATGTCGTTGAAGATGCAGCACAGTCTTCGTTCTGTCTCTTTAAGCTGAGGAAGGATCTGAAAGAAGAATTGAACAGTCATCACACGGGCATCGCCTGTGAGTGATG